GGGGGGGGGGGGGGGGCGCACTGTGCAGATCTCTTTGTTCGCTACGCCACTGACGGTAACAGGCCACCCGACCGGGGTTGCGATCGACGGGCAGATGTCGTAGAGGTAGCACAATTCTGGGTTCAGGAGCACGTCGTCGAGGACCTGTGGGTTGTCGTTGCCGTTCCCAACCAAGAGCGCCGTGGCCTTCACGGTCAGTTTGTCTGACCCCGAGAGAGGTTGCGCGGCCGCCTTGTCGAGCAGCGGCGCGAGGCCGATGTCTTCTTCTGTGATGATGCCCGGGTTTGCAATGCCATCCGTAGCGGCGATCCCTTGATCCCGGTAGGTGGTACCGTTGAAGTACTCGAACTTGATGGCTCCCGACGTGTCGATCTGCGGAGGCGGAGACACGGGGTGAGTCGGGCGGGGCGCGCGGAGAGGGCGGGAGCCGAGGAGCGCGCACGTTCGGACAGACTTCGAAAGGGAGGTTGCGGGTGTCTTCCTCCGTGTCGGCGGCGGTGCCGCGGTCGCTGTGCGTGAAATAGTCGGCAACGTCGAACGCGGTGATCGTCTCGGCCAACACACCGTCGACGCCAGTGTCGAAGTCGAAGAAGCAAGTGTCGAACTCCGGCTTCTCACTGGCGAGGGCGGCCTCGTACTCGGGAAGGACTATGTCGTAGCTCGACGTGGTGTTCCCGTTCCGGCTCGCCTCGAAGATGGTGGTGGCGTTCGGGTCTGCGCATATGGTGGCGTTCGCGTTCGGGCTTGAGCACGGCACCTTGAAAACAAAGTCGAACTGGAAGATGCTGGAGGTGTTTGCGGCGAGGTTGAGTGCACCGAAGGCGCCAAGCGGCTGGCCCGGTTGCCAGCTGTCTGGGTCGACGGGTCGGTTCCGCCCATTCTGTGCCGAGTTCCACGGGCGGTACTCGGTGACGTTGGAGATGACCAGGTCGAGGGTGACGTTGTCCGCCTCGGTGAGGCCGAAGGGGAGGAAGACTGCGCCGTCCTTGTAAAACTGCGGGGGTAGGCGGAGGTTGGAGAGAGGGGGGCGGCATGTGAGGGGAGGAGGTGACAGAGTGTTCGAGCTGGCCGCCTCTGCAAGAGGTAGAAAAGTTGGGGTTGGGAGGGCGGAGGGGGGCGGTGGGGGTGGGGGGTGGGGGGTGGGGGTGGGGGGGTGGGGGTGGGGGTGGGGGGGGGAGGGGAGGGGGGTCCGCCACCTCGCCGACATTTTCGTAGCGGACCACCTTCTTCTCGGGCGGCGAGTCAAAGTCGATGCAGTCTGCGCGCGGGGCGGCGGAGCAGCTGTGTGCTGCTGCAGAGAGACCGCTGCCTCAATTTCCGTTGGCCGCTCAGGAGAAACAAGCGCGCTAGCACCGGCCCATTATCCGCTCGCCGCGCTGTGCGGGAGAGGGGCAGCTGGGAGAGGCGCACCGCAGTTGTTGAGGTCGATGTAGTACTCATTGCCACTAAATGCGCCATCTGCCCAGATGAAAGGCCCCGTAATGCTCGACCACTCTGGCCAGCTGGTCGGCGCGTTTGGGTATTTTTCGGTGCCGTCTGGGTATTTGTAGTCGTCGTATGGTTCGGAGAGTATGCCAATGCCGCAACGATCCGAGCCGATCCCAAACGCCTGGAGGCGGCGGTGATGTGCGGGAGGAGTGCGGGAGGAGGGGGAGGCGGAAGTGGCGGTGGTGTGGGACGGGTGGAAGGTAGCGTCTTATCGGGAGGCGCTTATGTGGGAGATCAGGGGGACAGTCGGCAAGGAGGCGGACGGCGACAGCGAGGGTGTTGGGGGGCGCTGGCACCGAATCACTTGAGCAGCCAGCGACGGCGTCGCTTCCAGGGAAGCCGGCCATGTTGTTGACGATCTCGGTGGAGAAGTCAAATTCGAGTCTCAAGCCATCCTCGCGATCAGCGCTCGGCCGTCGTCGCTCCGAGTGCGCACCGGCCGAGAGGCCGATTGCCGACAGCAGCATGGCGGCGTGCACCCTCGATTCCATGTTGTTCCGCCGGCCATCCTCAGGATGGAATTAGGCGGGCGGCTTCGTTTTCTTTTTACCTACCTCCGGCGGTGCCCTTTCTTTGAAGACAAGTGCGACGGTCCACAGCGTCCGGCACTAGTCCTTCTTCACACGGCCATCGCATGCGGGTCTTCAGCAGACCGGCTACCGGGAACTACCGCGGAAGCCTTCACACACACACTCCAACAACAAACGGGCAGCCCGCGGCCAACCCTTCGACCACAAGAACGGCCACGGCTACGTCATCAGCAGCGCCGCGCGCCGCTCGTGCCGCGCGAGAAGGTGATCAGTCAACGGCGGGCGCCTCGCCAGCACTGACTGCCTGTGGCGCACCCGTCAAAATG